GCTTTTTACAGATTCAGACTAACACGGCTACCCCTCTGATACTTGCTATCTGGTCATCCTACTCAGACCTGGCGCTGCTCCTGGAGCTTGGGACTCTGTTAGGCAGGCCTGTCAAGCCCCCACGTTTGGTGCCCCCTGCTGGGAGGCAGCCAGGTGAGGGACGCAGGTCCAGTGTGTCCACAGAGCCAGTGACTACCCACAGCAGCACTATGTTTGGCATTGTTGGTACTCCACACTTCAGGCCATACAGTCACTGGTGCATGCTGGGTAAAGCTAGCAACTTGCCTGTGCTGAGCCGGTGGGTCTTTTTCACAAGGCACCATGACCACACGCCTGCTTGGGATGCTGGGATTGCTCCCCCTGGCTGCAGGGATTCACCTTGGGGCTCATTGTCAGATGTGCTGAGCTCCCACAGTTCCAATTCAAGTGAATAGCAGCTGTGGGTGTTCCCCTCCTCTTTAAAATCTTCCTGCCTGAGTGCCTGGCTCAGTGTTTTATACTGCTGCCCATCACTGCAGTATCTGGAACCTTCCACTTAAAAACAATAACAATTGCAAAGTCCCTCATGGACATCATGGAACCTCTGGCTCTTCTCTTTTGAGGGTAAAAAAAATCTGTTTGTGGTAGGATTGTTATTTTTATTATTTGTTTTGGTTAATTGATTTTTGTTTCTTGGTTTTGGTCTTGTTTGTTTTTGTTGTTTTTAATTTTGTTTGTTATCCTTTAAAAAAAAACAGCTCCACTAAATGAACTTCTAACATGATATTTATGAGGTTTGTGCTTGTTATTCTATTCTACTCTGGTTTTTATTTGGCTCTCATGACAGAAGAATCTGAACACTTTCCACTAGTGCATTAAGCAATATAACTAACATCTGTCACATGTGATACACAATGTAGTGTTTTGTCTTGGTAGCTCTTTTTTTATTTTAAGGTGTACATGCCGCTGCAAAATTCCTTTTGGTAACAGGTAATGCTAACAACCCTCTTTTCAAAGATGATCCAGAGGGTTGTGATGTGTCAACAACTGCTTATCCTCCCTGAGGAATTCTAAATAGGATGCCATGTGAGATTCCCGCAGATAGAATGAGGTCTTATGATGATAGGTATTGTTTGAGGGTGAGGATGACTATTTGGGATCCCACTAAATGCAAGTGAATTGAAAGGGCTGTTCATGATATCTAGTGATAGTGTTTTTTCAAAGTGAAGGTGGAAAAGTGGATGTATATAGCTCCCAATTCTGTCCCAACTGAAGGAAGAGATAAGATGGGTGAGGTAATATCTTTTATTGGACCAACTGCTGTTGGTGAAAGAGATAAGCTCTGTGTAGCTCTAAAGCTTGTCTCTTTCACCAACTTGAACTTGGTCCAATAACATTACCCACCCATCTTGTTTCTCTAATATCCTGGGACCAAGACTGCTACAACAGCACTACAAACAATCCATTGAAGGAAGTCACTGGCAAAAATCCCATTGACTTCAATGGGAACTGGCATAGGTTCAAAGACTAAGGGCATGTCTACATGCAGAAATGTAACAGCATAATTATAGTGGTATTCTGGTATACCAGGATAATTATATCATTATAGATATACCAGTATAATTCTTCTTGTAGATGCTCTTATTTCAGAAAAAACATAACTACGGCTAAGATTATGTCACAGAGGTCATAGAAGTCACAGAATCTGCAGAGCCTCCATGACATTTTCTGCTTCAGCCCCGGGTGATACCAGTCAGCTCTGTGTTCTTGGGGAACCAGGGCGCAGTATCCAGCCTATCTGACTCATGAAGAACACACACACACACACCCTCTGCTTGAACAAAAACCGATCAGAGAAAAGACTTGCAGGGAGCAGTGAAGGGCAGCGGGAGACACACCTAGACCCCTCCTGACAAGGGTGACAGGATTAAGGCAACTCCCCTAGCCTCATCTGCATCAAAGATGGGACAGGGAGGCATCTCCATTAGCAGGGTGGCTCTACCATTTTTGCTGCCCCAAGCAAACAAACAAACAAACAAACAAAAAGCTGCTCGGACTGCCGCCTGAACTGTCAAAGCAAAAAAAAAAAAGCCGCCCGGGCTGTGCCGCCCCAAGACTAGATGGAATGCCGCCCCTTAGCATGTGCCGCCCCAGGCACATGCTTCCTCCGCTGGTGCCTGGAGCCCGGCCCTGTCCATTAGCAGAATGGAGAACAGCGATTCCAAGGCAAGAACCGCACTGAACTCTGGGACCAGAAAAGCAGGGAAGCATTGCATCATGGGGGATCTCTGCCCCAGATGTTAATGAACCTACGCTTGTACACACCCAGCTCAGGAGTTATCAGGCCAATTCTAGTGATGAATCCTTGATTGATATCCAAAATACTGAAGCTGCCTAATTACATTGTGAGCTCCCTGGAAGGAACACCACTCATAGCTAGGAATGATCAGCTCCTATTGTCTAGTCTAAAGAAAACCCTTGAGTCATCAGTTTACCATAAACAAATCTAGTGTTCTCCCTTGAACCATTGTTGTTTCTCTACAAAAAAAAAAAAAACCCTACACACGCTCAAGTGTTCTGATGCATGGATCTAAACTCTGCATCAGTTCCACTGGGATTTCATCTTCTCCTGACTGATCGTGCTGGGGGCTCTGCCTGTCGCCAGCACTCAGGACCCTGAGCTACCACCATCACCTGGGAACCCTGACCAGTCCAAGTTTCATGGAGTGGTGAGACCCCAGCTCTCTCTCTTTCTCTCTCTCTCTCTGTTTTCTTTTCTACATCAGGTATAACTTTCTAACCCTGACTTGTTTGATCAGGTATAGTTGTCTATATATGACTTTTGTGATCTTTAATAATGTAACTATTATGTTTGTTTAGGCTCTCCTTGTGTAGTTATCACTATTATTCAATAAATAACTTTTATGGTTAAGCTGGTTGCTTCCCTCTCTCTCTGAACTTTACTCTTTTGTGTTTTTTGCTTCCCCAGAGCAGCAACACTCCTCTTACCTAAGCTAAAGATCCCTGTAGCCCCCAAAATACTGTGGGGTTTTCTCATCAAGTGGGCTACTACCAGTACAATTGTAACGTGAAAGTGGGGATAGAGACGTGCTGAGCCTGTGACATACCAGGGTGGCAGCTTGGAAATGCTGCTTGACCCAGACTACCGAGTAGGGTGACCAGATCACCAAAGACAAATATCGGGACGC